AATAGCTTTGGAGCTACCTAGTTGATAATGGTACCGAAGGAACACATGCTCCATTTCTCAAACAAAAGTGTTGTTGTCGACGTTATTCCCGTATGTGGTTGCTCAGCTGACCTAACTTTTTCGAATCTAAGGAATTGGAGGAGTGTAATCGAATCGTAACCTCAAAAATTGAAAAAAAAACTGATAATGAACGTAATATAACGATTTGTTTAGAACATACATGAGATATCTCGTCAGCACAGCTTTCTGAGGAGCTTGATTGATATTTCAAATGATATTTCTCAGATGGCCCTCCTCGTTCGTAGTTCAATCGTTGACGCCTGTCAGCCGTAGTTGACTCCTCCCTTTCTGGCAGATGTTAGTATTATTCTGTTGAATATTTTGTAAGAAAATAATTAAATAACCGAAAACGAAGAGTGTTTGTTGATTGCTCAGAGCCAGGAATGACGTTGTTTCAAGAAAAGCAGGTTAGTTGTCTTTCTATGAATCATATCCTCTGTTTGTACTTTCCTCCCTATGATCACAGTACACAGCAATGTAACAATAAGACTCCTCCCCTTTTTCTTTTTTTTCCTTTTTGGTCGAATGTACTTCTGTTTCATGGTAGATGAATTTTCTATCATATTTCTATTTTATCGTTTATTTTGTTTGATATTTCAAAAAATGTATTTTAAGTTGTTGATGGGAATAACGAAAGAAGCTGAAGCAGGCTCTCAGCGAGGATTCCTTGACCAAATTGATGTATCGGATTGTCCTGTTAAGTTAGAATGTGATGACAATGAGGAATGAGTGAATGCTTTAGATACAAACTATATAAGGAGCGATGGCTCATCCTAGCAGTTTGCTGTCTCCTTGCTCTCTCTAATGCAATGGTTTGAAAGTTATGAAGACGATGAACAGGGTTGTATGTTGTTTCAGCAATGGATAAGCTATATAACTCTGACAATTGAAACCAGAACCTTTTATTGTGAAGATGGTGTTGATTGCGAGCCAGCTTTCACAACAAACCAAATATTCCAAGTAAGTTATATGTGATTGGTTATCTTATAAGTGTGTATTGTATAGTTAGTAGCTGTTCTAACAGGCATTGGAGGAATGTATATAACAGATGTGTATGGGATACGTTTATCTGTAAGTTCTTTCTCATTGGTAAAGTCATGAATGTAAGAACGAAATGTTTAGATTATGTTCGGTGTGACTTTCAATTCAATCGGATCGTTGATTCGTTTGATCTCAGCCAGTCCCCAGATTGTCAACAGTTATATTAGATTGTCTCTTCTCCATTTTGGTTCGTTCGAATGTAGTGAAATGATAAAAAGGAAGGAAGGCGAAAATCGAACGAAGATTTGTTGTGACTTCGTGTCTTCAATTGGTGTGAGAAGGAAACTGTGCCCAAAGAAAACATTCACCATTGATTATTAATATTCTTGAAATATTTTGATTGACGTACGAACTTCGAGAGAAAGTTTTTCTTTTTGAAGGATCAACTATTGTGGCTGCAGCTCAAGCCTTCTTCCTGGTGCTTCCATCGAAAATAGCTGAATGTTGGTTTCCGGAAGACCAGCGTGCTATTTCGAATGTTTTAACATTCATCGGTTAGTAATCATCCTGAGCTCTGGACAAAAGATATTTTTCAGCTAATCCTGCTGGGGTTGCTCTTGGGACCTTAACACCTCAGCTCTTCTTCCAATCTCAGAATAAGACGGATGTTTCATTCTCACGCCAATCTTCTCAGCTGTTCCATTATGTCAGAAAGCATTATGAGAACGTCGTTAACTTTTGATGTTGTAGGATCTCATTATGGCCTCTCTCACAACGACAACATTTGTTTTTTCCTTTTTCATTAAGAGAAGTCTTCCACCTACACCACCCAGTCCAGCGAATCAAGATCACGCGACTGGAGCTCCATCCTTCTGGCCAGCTATTCTTATATGTTTGAAGTAAGGGAACATATCGCTTCTTCCGATTCTCTCCTTGTTTTCTTTCAGAAACAAACAGTTTGTCGTTCAACTCTTCACTTTTGCCTTAGGATTCGCTCAGCTATGGGGAGTTATGGTTGTTTTTCCAGACATTCTAGATTCTATTGGCTATTCCATTTCTGGGTTATTTGAATAGGTCTGCAGCTTCACACTCATTCTCGTTCCAGATATGCAACTGCTATTTGCGCTTTGGTTGGGGTGATCTCCTCTATTCTGGCAGGAGCTGTAGCTGATAAAACAAAAAAATTCAAAGAAATTGTCCAATTCTGTAGCGTTGGGTTCTTCTTGAGTGCCGTCTTGACACGCGGAGTTGAGAAGTAATAATAGAACTTAGAAAACATATTGTCTTTAGTATTTGGAGAAGAAACGACAGGGGATCTGGGATGATGTGACAATATTATTTTTGAGTTCGCTGCTCGGAGCCTTCTCTATCCCCCAGTTCCCGATCGGAATTGAGATGGGTGTGGAAACGACGTTTCCAGTGTTTGAAGCAACATCGTCAGGCCTCCTAGTTCTCTCAGGGTAATGAAGAAGCATAATGATAGGAACATGGAAAGTTTCACCTTTACAGTCAACTCTGGATGTTTTTCCTGTACGCACTTTTTATGTTTGTTGGAGGTCTTCCATACTTCTACGAAACGTCAACGAACATTGAATCCATCGGAAACTGGCAGTGTAAGTTTGAAAGAAGAAAATGGAGAGAGAGGAAGTGTTTATAAAGATTTGCTGCCCCTTCATCTGAATTCGATTTTGAAAAAAGTTCTTTTGCAGTGATTTTGGATATTTGGTGCGTTCTTTGCTTCACGACAGCCATCATAACGCTTTTCTGTTTACAACCAACGTTAGTTTCAAACATCTTGCTGGTGCTGTGCTCCTCATGCAACACACTCCTTTGCAGTTATAAACGATTGATTTATGAGAAAAATCAGACGAACTATCAGAATTCCCTGCATTGCAGTCGTCACAGGACCTCCAGCATCGAGCACAAGGATTTAGAAAACTAATTTTTAATAAAAGAAAACATCAAATGTCTGTGATTCATGTTGTAATTGTAATATTAATCATCCACAAATCTTTTTTTACACCCATTTTCCAAATAATTTTTTTGTCAAATTATGAATGAATGAAGGAACTAATTCATCCCGCTGATTAGTCATCTAGCTGTCGTCTTTACTATTGTGCTGCATGTTTATTGGAAAATGTTTGGTGCAAATAACAAATAGGGTTTTACAATAAGTTGTGGAAGCTTGTTGAGTTGGGCAAAAAACCGAAAAAACAAAATAAACTTGGAGAGGCATAGGTTTGTATCACAGAAGATATGATTTCCTGTATATGTCTTTGGGTACAAAAATTGTTTGATGAAAGATTACTTTTGGAAAAATCTGATAACTGAAAGGGTCATATTGCTGTTGAAAAAACGATTGAGAAGAAACCGGGAGGCGAATAGAGAGAATTAGACGGTAAGAAGAAGGTAGCTTGTGAAGATGACTACAATAGGCTATAAAGATGACGGAGATGATTATCTGGAAGAGTTCAATGAACCAGCATGCAAAAAGAGAAAGAGAAAATGAATAGGGGAAAGTGCAAATTGAGTATCAAACGTTAAGGAATCCCGGAAAAACCAGCCGACTGAATAAGCTACACGTCTTCATAAGAAGACATAAGAGGTGTGGTTGAACTTGTATATGTTGAATTATCAGCTGTCCCGTCATCTGTAGTTATGAAACCCAGTTGAATAGGACAACCACAGCTGTTACCTGTTTTTTTAAGATTATTATGATAACCATTAGAAGATATATTGATTCTAGGAATGCTTGAACTTGTGGGCATCAAAGGCTCCCGATGAGATTGTGAATGATCCACAATTGGCGGCTTCAAAAGGGATTTGTTATCGTTTTCATTACATTCTTCCGACGTACCTGCATTTGTAGTAATGGATTGTTGGGAGCATTCACTTGTGGTTTTGAACTGTGACAACACAAGCTTCCAGGTGCTGCAGAGTTTTGTACCGTTAAAGTATTCTGTAAAGTAGACGTTAATGAGTAAACAACAAGAATGTAAGTGATACAACCGCTTCACGTGAAACAATGAATATAAATGATCAGGTGAAGATACGTGAGAAGAAAGTAACGTGAGCCGTGGAATGGGAAGAAGCTTTACCTGAAGTTCTACTATCTTCTGAGTCAACATGTCAATCTGAGAGATGAAATGGTCTTGGGTCCGATGCATTTCCCACAGCGTCTCATGCATGTCCGAATGAAGCTGAAAATAGATGAACTCAGTTCGAACTACTCTGTTGACAGCCGAACCTTGCCAACATCCAACAAAGAGTTTCCTTTCTCTTGTAACTTTCGTTGATCCCATTTGATTCTTCGGAACTCGTTGATTGAATGAAGAAAACGCCGTTGATGATGCCGAAGACGTAAATCATCTCCTTTTTGTAATCCTTTCTTATACTTATGAATAAACCTTGAATAAATAAACCATATGCTCATTTTATGAGTGAGACCCGAACCATGTCTGTTGAAGAACAGAAGCAGCAGCATTCTTCCTCTGATTTGTGAGCTTGGAATCAGCCATGAAGTTGTTCACATGCTTTTCAGCCCGACTCAGTTCCAGTTTCCTTGATATGACTGCTATCAGAGCTGATGATACTCCAGCTCCCTAAATGAATTTTGTTTTTTTTGCTTCACAGCTTAGAAAGTGAAAAGAGGGGAAGGATATGAAAAACCTACAACAATCCCGGTTGTTATGGACAAAGTTCTTCCACAATATGTATTTGGAACGATATCTCCATATCCAATAGACATAAATGTAACCATAATAAACCACATAGAATTCAAATAATAATGTTGAACATCTAAATTTCCGTCATATCTGAAGAGAGGACAAGCGTGAGATGATGAGGATGCAAGTATTGCAATATACCGTTCGCATTGGGTGAACATCCAAGACATACAAATCCAATAGGAAACGGTGAAGACTATCAAAACTCTAAGTGGATGGTCAGCCATCATTGTCTAGAAAAGGAAAGAGAGGAGAGTTAGTCTTAGTTCCTTGTTTGTTTCAGATCTCACTTTTATCACAAAACGGAAGTCCATGGAGATTCTGTTCAATGCCGCGATAGATCGAGTTGCGGCGTCCTGAATGAGCATATGATTGAAGGAAGAGGTAAATTGCTTACCTGGAATTGTTTACTATGTAAGACCATGAAGCGACATAAGAGATAAGATCGGAGGAACATTGGAACAGATAGAAGTACATCAACAGGAACCTGAAAATAAGCTTTTCGTGAAAGATGCACCAAGATGAATGTTACCAGAATCATATTGACTTGTCTCGTTTCAGAATTTATATATGGCCATCGTATCGAACCAGACCCTTGAAACATAAAAGTATATTCGCTTCATAAGATTAGAGATTACCAGGAAATGGGCATATTGCACATACAGCTAATTCCAATGAAAGTTTGATAACCCGATCCATACTGAGTGCAACCCGCCAATCATCAGCACCAGAATCAATCAATGCCAGCTTCACCTATATATGGGATACGTTGGCATGGACAATGAAGCGAGCCATACCTCAATAGAATGATAGTGAATCAGACATCCCATAAGACATAATGTTGTAAAAACACAAAGAGATCTTAAGCCTATTGAGATCATATGAGACTATAAATGAGATACTTAGTGTGGTCGAACGAGATTGAGATAAACCTTTGTAACATGACTAGTTTCAGATAAAGCTGTGAGTTCAGAATCAATTATAATAAACATGAGACCAGCAATAGCCAGAACGAGAGAGAGATCGCACACCTGCAACAGAATGAGGAAATAGAAGAAACAGATGAACCATCAGAAGGATAGTCGCATTGCTTACCTTGTTTCGCCGAACAAACAACTGCTTTCTCTGACGACATCGCATTTTTGCTGTGCTTTCACTGAAATCATTCAAATTGCCATAAGCGAGTGAGTTTTAAACGTTCAAATATAAAACTAATTTATTTTCCTCTCAAAATTTTGTTTCAAATCGAATTGTCAGCGAGTAATTTCATGTAATTGTAGGGCGATGATTAGCTTTAACTGATTGCCAGCATACGGAACCAATTCATAGCCCCGAGTCCACGAAGGAGTTTTCCCTCACGGAAACTAATTCATTTGCCTTTTTTGGAAAACGAACAGAGGAGAGATCAGTGCTAGGAGAAAGAAACAGAAGATAAGAAGAAGAAAAGAAATGAAGAGAACGGAAGCTTTACCTAACGAAGACATGATTGGAATCTTCTCCGATTTCGAAACGGAATAACCGAAGAAACATGAATTGAGAGTATTAAACCACCTTTTCTGTGGTTAAATACTTTATGAATTAACATATAGTTGGTGGAGGAATGAAGCTTCTCGTCAAATCGACGGTTTCTCCAATTTCTGTCTATTCAGATGATAAAAACAACGAATCGAAGCTGATTCGTCGTTGGAAATGTGAAAGGCGGGCATCTGAATTGCCTTGCCAGCAGACAACCAAACACAGAAGAGTTTTCTTAAACACCACACAGAACAGAGAGGAGAAATAGAGAGAGATAGAGAGAGAGGAGTGATAAGCATGTTTTTTTAATTTCTTGGAAAATAGTTGAAGGAAACGAAAAGGAAAGTGAGAAAGGGGGATATTGAAAGTCACGATATGAAAGGTGAAGGAGAGATTTACACACGATTTGCTTCTCTAAAAAACTTGAAAAACAATGGTAGCCGACTGAAAGACAGGCAGAGCGAGAGGAAAGAAGGGAAACAGATATGAATATACATATGGAGAGAAAGATATTGGCAGGGAGAGAACGAAAAAACGGTGTTGGGTTGCAGAAAATGGAAATAAATTATGGGAACCTGTGATACTACTTTCATCGAAAACAAATTGATGGAAAAGTTAAAAGAATAGTATTCTCTACTGCTTAAGCATACTAATGATAGGTTGTGGGAGAAGCTGTGATGGGCTGTTTCACAAGCTGTACGGACAACCCAACTTTCATTCAAATCTTAAGAGAAAAGAGAGGGATAGTGTGAAAATGAAAAAGAAGGAGAAGAAGAACATGGAGAAGTTGAAGAAGGAGGTGAAAGGGAAAGAGAGTTAGGATAAGAAGCACAGCTGAGAGCAACCGATCCGTGAAGAAACAGAAAACAAACTATTTTTCCACGTGAAATTTGACGTGGAATGTTACGTGCAGCTTCACGTGGAATCTCACGTAAAAGATCATTTGAATCATTGAATGTTCTTTAGTTGCTTGTCAAATAGATGTTTTAAAATGAAAAAAATCTGAAAAGATAGTGAATGGAGGTGAGAATTCATTGTTATTCGCTCTTTCATTCAACAATTTTTATTAAGTTCTGAACTTCTAAGCTGAAATGGCCATGGGCAATTGTATTTGCATACGAGTTTGAACTGTTTCTCGTTCATCAATAAGCTTTGCTCGCGTACTGCTAGACCACCAACCAGATAATTCAAACAAAATTATAAAAAAAGGTTGCAACTGATGAAAAAAGGGGAAAGGAGAAAATTGATAAAGAAAAGCAAGACAGTGCTGCTCGGAGTCCGTCTGAAGCTACGAGAAGCATAGAAACTTACATATAACGCTGGAATTTCAGATCGAAAAAGACAAATATCTGATTGATGACGATCATTGGGTTGCATTCGAAGCTACAAACCGCGGATGAAAGGTTAATAAATGAGATTGAAGGTGGAAAGATTTTCCTTTTTCGGACAAAAAGGCAGAATGACGTGGGAGTGGGGTTGACGAAAGATTGTTTTCGTTCAAAATTAAAAAAGAAATTCATTTTACTATTCAGCTGTGAGTAAAGAAAGAATGGAACAAGTTGAAAGAGATGGAAGAAACTTTCTTTAATACCTTAAAAGGTGAAGAGAATGAAAAATTAGTTTGAAATGTTATTTTGGATCGTAAATAAGCAGGTTGATTTATGGCTTCTCATATGTTCGCTTTGAAAATGGACGAGGCAAAGGCATTTCGCTTTTCGAACTAATCAACTGCTTGTCGCCTTGACCACTTTCCTCCAGGCGAATTCATGTGATTTTCCCGAATTCTCTCTCTAATGCCATGAGTAAATAATTATTTTTTTATAAATTTGATCAGAAGTTACCTGTGCCATTCATTGGGAATGGGCATAAAGCGGATTGAAACGAAATTTTTCAAAGTTAAAAATGACATTTGATGTCTTAAGAAGGCGAACATGGTGGATAACGGATTGAAAAGGGCTTTCTCCAACCTTATATACTTTCCCTCCTTTTGGCTTTGTGTCTCTCTCTCTTTCTCCCTCTCTTTCTCTTGTATATTTCTCTGGCAACCTTCCACTTTAACCAATTCTGCTTGAAGAAGCATTCTGAAGAACTCCTTTTATCTCCCTTTACCTCGACAGATCACATTCAACTCATTATTGCCTCAGGCAGAATATGTAATGATCAATTGCTGCTCTCTTCACCAAAGCTTCTTCTCTATCTCAAAACCATTTTAAATAGCCAAATATCCTAAGAATGCCAATTATTTCGCACAGAAAACATTGTGTGCCATCAAGCGTAAACCATCTAAGGTCATCTAATTCACGTGAACTATAAGTTCACGTGATGTGTATGACCTTCTAGTACAATCCATGTATGTGTGAGAAGTCAGCTATGGAAATTATGAAAATTTTCGATCATTTCTCCCTCCTTGGATGTCCTTTTTTGGAAACATTTTTAATAGAACCGCATGTGATGTTCTTTGAAAGTTTCCATGTAATTTGAGAAGTTGAGGAGAAAAACATTTTGTTTAATTACATTTTCTCTCTCAATTTGATAGTTTTCGAATGATTTCTGTAGAGCACACACACACACTCATAGAGAGAGAGAGGTACGTACTCATAGAGAGAGAGAGAGAGAGAGAGAGAGAGGGAGATAGCTAATGTATGGAACGATATGATCATACCTTGAGATACTGTATCCGTAACCACTTTGACGTCTTCTGATTACTCGTGTTGAGTTCTCACAGTGATTTTTTGGTTCCTCCGCCACATTTGCGTCAAAGTGAACACCACCGTTCACATAACGATCATCTGCAAAAGCTTTTTCTATTAATATCGCAGTCGCAATCCGTTTTTCGATCTTTCTGTGGTTGAAGTTTCTGTGAGCTTTTTTGTCTGATTAAGGATTATATTTCCCTGAGTCAAACTGACGTCAGTCTTCGATATACGACACCCACACTCTTCTTTCGGGGCTCCTCTTCGGTTCTCTTATCATATCACTTCTGTATACTAGTGTTTGAGATGCTAATATTCGGATATGCTTCGTCTCTTGTTCACTACATATTAGTTGCCGTCGATAGCTCTGAGACAAAACAAATTCCTTCAGGCTCTCGCAAAATTTGTGGTCGGGGATGTCCATTGGGAGAACTAACAGAGAGATCCTAAAGACATGAACCCATCTTTATAAAAAACTGAGAACGAAGCGACAATGCAAACGGCATTGCTGGAGTGGAATCTAAGAGCGAAAACTCGCCATGTAAGGTTGAAGAGTAGAAGAAACAAAAAAAAACTTTAAAAAGAGCAAAATAAAAGAAAGCAAAACAATGTTGTGTGTGTATGTGGAGGAGGAAAGCATTTAGGTGAACATCTTGTTCTCAGAACTTGTTGAGGAATTTCCAAAGAGATGAATTTATTTGAAAATTCAGTTGTTCATTCAGTTCCAAAATTGTCTTTTCATCCTATTGCGAGACAATTCAACGGTAAATTGATGTTTGACGACTTCAAAAGTCTTCTGAAACACCTGATGACGTCAAGAAGAACCGGAGTTTCTCGATCAACAAAATTCCCAAAAAATTTCCCTCCCAGTAAACTTTTGTCTTTCATTGCACTTGATTGGAATCTGGTGGCTCATATAGTCCCAGAAGAGCAATAACGAGAAACGAAGGGCGATGATCGCCGTGAGCCGTTTATGAACTAGAGCTGGAAAAGCTGGCTTTTTGACTTCCAACTAGTTCACTTCTAACATTCTCCATTCTTGTCAAGCTGGCATGATATAAGAAAAGAACATCAGCATCAGAATGACATAAAGATGAAACTCAAGCCGACATGAGTTCGAAAAGAGAACGATGGATAGTTGGGAACAAAGGCCTCGATGGTTAATAACAATCGTATAAGGAAAGAATTTTTAAGAAACAAAAGAGGCACACATGATGAGAAAATGAATTTGCGTGAAAAGAACATGTTAAGGAATGTTTTCTAGGGGGTTGGGACAATGAAGATTCTTGTGGTGATAGGCAACAACCCGATAAGTAGTTTCTTGATTCGCTTTCTCTGATTCGAAAAATATTTGGAGAGGAATTCTTCTCATGTTTTTTTATGGAAAAATTGGCATTTAATCTCAGCCGATCGATGAGGAAAATGCCGAGATAGTCTTTCTTTCTTTTTCCTTCCCCTCTCCTGCTTTTGCGTCTTCCCTCTCTCCCACTCGCTCTCATCTTTCATATTCCAATAAAGGGAATGATATCATTCTACCTATATGGCTCATTTATTGTTTTCATCAGGCTTCATCCCACAAATCATCTGATAAGGGAAGGATAAGAAAGTCTGACGTTTTCTGACGTTGATCATCCAGTTAAGGTCTTTTGAACATGAGAAAAGATTTTTAAAAAGAAAGAGGTAAACTTGGAGGAAAGTTGTAGACAATCAACGTCGATTCATAACTGAATCTGTGCAGAAGAGAATCTTCAAAGTCTGAATTCGCATCATCAGCATCGATCATTAACTATCTATATCAAATATGAATTAGTAGCGCAAGAGAAGACAACCATCACAATAGTAATAAAGGCGAAAAAAACATTTGTTAATCGCAGAGCTTCAAAGGGCTTCTGACAATTCCTTTTTTTGGCTTTTCACCGGTTTTTGCCAAACAACGCACACAGCTTTCCATCACACTTACAGACAATTGACTTGATAAAAACATTTGACTTCTTCCAAGCCAACAGAAGAAGCAAATTAGCTTCCCATTTTGGGCACATTTCCAGCATTTATGTATTAAAGCTAATTTCACGAAATGCACAATTACCGCCAGTTAGCAAGTGCCTTCATATTAACAAAACATGCTCCATGGCTAAAGATGAGATGCATACATACATGGAATGTTGCATAGAAACACTCAGCGTGCCTCTTTGCCAATCCATTCAATGAAAATGAAAAACTTCAAACTATCATTTTACTTTTAAGCTGTTTTTAGTCATTTTTTTTATTGCAAATTTAGCCCTTAAATGTGCATATGGCTTGAGTCTTGAACACCATAGTGAGCTGTCGCGAATCGGAAGTCATTTCAGAGACTTCCGGTGCTTCATCCGGAGACGTGCACGTAAGCAGAATAGACGACTTGAGCATACTTCAAGAGCACTTGCAGCAGAATAAAAAAATATAAAAAATGATAACTCACAATCGGACGAAGAAAGCAAGTTTAGAATGTGTTCTGTTGTTTGCTTGACGCTTATTCGTCTTTTTTCTAAATTACAGCGATCCATAGTTCCCCAGCCGTTGAGATGACGTGACGAACCACCATCGACGGCTGAATAACGCCTGTGCTCCAGAAGAGGAGAAGCTTCTGTCGATGACGTACTGCCATTTGAAATAAGTCGACTGTACAGATTAATCTTCTGATTGCCTCTTCCGGCAGGAGCTGAGGTAGCTGGACGAAATTCGGATAAACGCCGTCGATTCGTGTACTGATAGCCATTCATGGGAACGACAGAAGTTGCTCGACATCGACGAATCGGAATTTCAGTCACTATAGTTGGCAAAGGACGATGCCTGTAGTGACAATGAACGTCCAGTGCGTTGTCGAATGCTCTCAGAACAAAAATAGAGAAGCAGATGCAGAAATATGAGGAGAATTACAGAGAGCAATGGGTCAGTTGAGAAGCAAATGACAACTTATTCAGAGCACTGGCGGGATTAGGTATTGTTCGGAAGTTCTAAGCATCATCGTCTATCATTCAGACAGAAAGACGGTGAAAGTAAGAATATGCGAATAAATCAGCCGAATCCTCTCAACCTGGATCTTTCCAGCTGGAAAAGGAAAGAAAAGCAGTTTAGAGATAGCAGGATAGGAAGAGCAAGTAAGAGAGTAAGACAGCAGAAGAGACGTAGAAAGAGAAGGAGGGAGGGAGTGAGGGAGGGAGGGACTGAAGTATGTTGTTAGACAATATGAATGGATAATGGTGGAGGATAAGTTTATGTCTTCCGATGAGAGAATACAGAGAAAAGCCAAAAGTTCGTGAAGCACCGCCCTTCAAGAGTCCCTCATTATTAGAAATCCCTTGTTATCTTTTACCTTACATAAACTACAATAGCAGAAACATTTTCGAGGATACTATACTTCGAATGAGGACATAGGATTGATAGCAAGAGACGAAGAGAGAGGGGAAGGATGCTCCAGACTTGAGGAACTTCCATATTTAGAGCATGTGACAATTGATATTTATAATCAATGAGAGGATGCGCGCTGAAGATATAAATCTCGGATAAAGAGCTCATCAGGAGCTTTCACTATCATGTGCGATAACTTCTAGATGTGGGAAAGCAATTTATCAAATCATCTTCTCAGTTTCTTGAGCAAAATGGAGAGCAAAATGGAAAAATACCATTTCTTACCAGAAAAAACATATTTCTTCGTTCAACGACAACATTTGGAATGGCAAAAACGGGAAGAGAGAGATTTCTCTCTCTCCTTCTGAGTTCTCAGAAGAAGCATTAGAAGGAGAAAAGTTCATTTTTGAATAAAAATTTAATAAAAAAATATTACTTGTAATTATAAGATGTTTATCAAATGAAAATCGGGGCGATAGGTCTTCTATGGAAGCCGACGACAACCAATAATTCGGAGAAAAACGAGACGAATTATGAATTTTTGGAGAAGGAGACGATGGATAGGATATGAAGCCACGAATTTCCATGGGATTTTTTGGGCGAACAAAGAAAGAAAAAATGACTTAAGCTTCCAGAGGCGGGTATAATTCAGATCATTGTAGATTAAAAAACAATTTCTGTGTGTATAATCTAGATTTGGTTGTTATTTGATTCGCAAATGAGAATTGCATTCACATATAGCAAAGAGTGTTCTTTATTCTCATCAAACCTTTCTTTTCTCAAATCCAAAGCTTCTTGTCTTTTGCAAATGCTTTTCTCATCCAACAATTCTCTCTTCGCTTCTCACCTGTATCAATCTCAATGTGTGAGAAATTTATTAAATTTCGAAACTTCATCCAATTATTTCAGTGTATGATGAGAAGGATGAAGGAGGAGGAGGAGGATTGAACAAGAGCTGTAGTTGTAACATGAAAACTCACCATCTGTTTCTCCAGAAAGAACATTCACACTTGGAGTTGATTCTCTGCGAGGCGAAAAGCGAGCTGTTAACAACGTTCGAAACTGCTGCGTGTATCCAGAAACTCGAAGAATATCAGAGGAGACCTAAACATAGAGATAAACTAATCCCAAAAAACGACTTGTAGGTTTTCATGTTTGTTGAGCAGTTTGTAGAGGAGTGGGGGTGTTCCAACTAATTTCGTTTCACTTTCAACAACTACCCTCATCTCTCTCTCTTTCCATATTTCTCTCTCTTGAAGTCTTGTTGCTTCAAAGAATTAACCTGCTTAGCAGAGTTATTCCAATAACGCGCTATGGTGAAGCATATGAAGAGAGCCACTACTCATGATTTAATTTGTAAAATATAATTATTAAATGGAAGAATTATTGTCAGTTGAGTAAACGGACTTGCTGAGTGGAATGAAATAAAAAAATCATTTTTGTCTAAAACGGTGGTGGCGTTAGAGTTGAAGGGAAGCAGCTGAAATTCGGAATCGAAATCTATTCAGTTGGAATGTTAGATGAATGTTATAAATATCTATATTATATGTATAGTTAAGCCAAAGAACGGAAAAGGTGGATCCATAGAAGGGTTGGCGAGCATTGACGGATAGAATAGCTCTCTTTGCGATTATATTTCCTCTCTTCTTCTTTTTGGAACTGATTGCAGCAAAGAGGGCAGCACAAGCACAAGCAGTAGCACTCTATCGGAACAGTATCTGTTAATTCCACTTCAAATCATCACACAATTTTATATTTAATAGGCACAAGAGGGCAGAATGTGTGAAAATAAAAAATAAATTGCAGATATCGCCGTCATTAATTTCCCAAAATGACGTCAATTAGGAGGGTGAGATGAAACAATGATATTGGGCATCGGATGCATTATGAAATGTGAGAAAGCTTCTTCTAACTCCTCTTCATCGTTTAGCAATAAGAGTAACCTCTATCGAAGTCGGAGCATGTATGCGCATTGATACTATCACCACCACCTTACCGTGAACATCGATGCTGCTCGTTCTCGTTTCTGATATTGAAACGACTTGCGTTTAGGCTCCGTCCGACGACGATTCATTCTAATAGTTATCATAAATCAAAACGAATATTATCAAGTTAACGACAAACGAGCTTGCAAAGGAATTCTAAACTGGCTATTGAGATTTGGGAACTGCTTGCCAGTTTCCTGAGGAAGCAAAGAGAAATAGATCAATGACCGATTAATGAAAAATTATTTTTCTCATTTTCGGTTAATACTACATTCTGATTGAAAAGTTATGAAATCTCATCAGACACGTTCACGTGAGAAATGACGTGAGCTTTCTCATTTTAAAATTTTAGGCGCTCTGACTGGTTGTGTTTCGTTTTCTCTCGTTTTTGTCTTTTTCTCACCCTCTCTTTCTCACCCTCTCACTCTCTCTCTCTCTACCACTCTCTACACTGTCTCTCCACAACGTTTTCTTTTTATCTTCTCTGTCAGAGTTTTTATCTGATTGAACAAAAGCTAATTTGCATATTTCACTGGAATTTACATGAAGAACAGAATCTGAGGTCAGAATGAACTTGAAAAGGAGAGCAAAAGCTGACGTTGCTATAATGAGGAAGAAAAGCTGTGGTATTGTCAAGTTTCAAGACGATTCCATAAGCTTCTTAAAGATGGATTTAATGAATCACAAACAAAATATTTACAACAATACACAAATATCTCAGAGATAGCCAGTTGACACTAGCAAGATGGGGCAGAAGGCGAATATTCAAGTGGAGCTTTTCGAGAAAGAGCCATGAATGAACTTTTTATGAAATTATAAATGTATTCTCTTCAGAAATTCTGAAAGAGTAATTTTACAAAGGAATAAAAAAACATTTATTTGAATTTTGAAATGTGGATAATGAGCTCATGAACGACTTGGAGCTTTCTTCTGGCAGGTCATCATGGACGAGGGATGGTCCTAAACCGAAAATTCCGGAGAAAGGATTGATTGTCGAGATGAAAGGAAACGACAATGGTCGACAGACAGGAAATAGTCGGAGAAGCATTTTTTTCTCTTTCTCTCTATTTCCTCCATTATCATCCGAAAAGGTAGAGAGAGAGAGAAAGAGCTCATCGTTTATTGAAGGCAACAGGTCATTTCTGAACATAGGGTCTCTTGACGCCATTTTCTGGCCAAGTTGAAAAGAGTTCAGAGTGACTTCTCAGAGTTTCTAAAGAGATAAAGGGAATGCGAGAGAAGCAGAAGTTCAAAGAAGGAAGAAGAGATAGAAAAAAAACTTTTTTTTGTCCGATAAAAAGGAAGCGTCATGTGAACATAACATGCACGACAAAACCAACCTTTAATAACTCCTTCTCTCTCTCACTTTCTCACTCCATATGGCAATCTCTCAGTTGAAAAAAATAAAGAGGAAGAAGCTGGAAACCAAAAAAAAAGGATGAGATCTCATTCATTTTGAACCGAATTGAGGTTTGATAGGATGCTAAGTGTTATCAAAACGGAAATTGCTTCCAAAAAAACGAAATTCTAGAGGTAAAGCTGAAGAGAGAGAGGCAGAAGCTAAAAAAATTCATAAAAACGAATTATTTCTTCAAAACTTTTGTCTGCTCATAAAGCTTCTCCCTCATCATTTCTTTTTTTCCAATAAAATTCAGTTTGAAATATGAAATTGTGGGATGTAAGCTGTTAGTTATAGCACCAACAGAGAAAGCTGAAGCTTACATATCGTATAGAAGGAACACATCTCTTCCAAGTAGTTTTTTAAAAGTTGATTTATTCAAATGAATTTGTATGCATTGCCAATTACACCTTCAAATTGCCAGATGTGAGCATTTTCTCTTTATTGACAGAACTGATACGCTGACTGAGACTGCCATTTTGGTGAAAATGGATTTGAAATGATAAACAGCACCACAAGCTCTACTCTTTTTAACTTCTGATACTATACTGAGCTACTAATGCCTCTCATGTGTGAAGTGGAATCACTCGACATGCTGATGAAGCTTCTCGTATAGTTATTCTTACATAATAGTGTACATGACGTTCACGCAACTCCCCCACGTGGTATTATTGATTGCATTTGCATATCATTTGTTGATGATGTAAACGTACTGTGCGGTTGACTTACTTGAGCTATAGGATTATCAAAAGTACGAGCTTTATCGTCTTCATCTAATGCTTTGTACAATTCACAACTTCGTCCATGCCTTCGTGATAATGGTACCACCATAGAACTGAAATGACTCGTTTGAAATATTTATGAAAATGTGAATTTTGTAATTTAATTTCACCTGATCAAATTAAAATTTCAAATTTATATGTTAAATAGAAGGCTTACCGACATCCTTGCGAATGGAGTATGCTATCAGAATATTTATGATACATCACATAGCGAGGAAAAGCCATTTTTCCATAACTAGGTCGATGATGCTTAGTAGACGACGAAGGAGAAGCAAAACATCGAAGAATTTAATAAATTAAGAAAAATTGAAAGAAGATTGGATTGTTTGTCGTTTATGGCGAGTAATTCACGGCTCCGAAAAAAAGGATAAGTGGAATGTCAAAATGAATTTTGAAAGGTGGATATTGAAAGCTTTGTTGAACAACATGCTCCAATGAAAAATCCTTTTATAATGGGTGAAATCCAGCAGAGATTTTACTTCAACCAAGATACAAGCACAAGGTTTTTCAAAAGAGTCAGCAACATACGAGGGAGTAAAGGTATGTTCAGGAAGGAAAACACAGAGAGACAGAAAAATAAAAAGAGTGAACAAGACATTCAGAGAGAGAGAGAGAGAGAAAGTTTCTTACAAATAGTATAATCTTTCGAGACAAATCTAAAAGATGACAAAAAAACCTTCAGATGTTAAGCACTTACTCAGGACTTCAAGTCATCAGTGACCGAAAAAACGAATAAATTCTACGAAAGTTTTGAAAAAATTGAAAAACAATTGGAAAAGCAACATCTGAAGTTTAAAAGAGGAAGAAGAGAAGGAGAGAGAGAGAGAGAGAGGAGGAGCAGAGGGTGAGGTGCATGTAATGAAGAAAAAGTGGGCTTATTGAAGCTTCGATGATGAAGAAGGGAGTCTTCCATTTGCAGGCAATGAAATGAAAACGATGGGAAGGAGATTTTCAAGGAAGCTTCCTTCTTAGTATTTTTTCCACACAACGATCTATTGTGTTGCGGAAGCATCAAGCTCTTAGTACTTAGAGCTTAGAATATATAGATTTGGCATTTGTTATGTTGTCTCAAACAGAGAGAAATAGTGAGTAATAGGTACAGGTACTCAGATCACTCAGTTTTGTCACAGCTCAGAACTGAACCTCATTTAGTGTAGAAACAGCTGCGAAAGCTGAAAACAAGCTTTTACCAGCTGCTGATTGAAAGAAGGGAAGAAGAAAAATGAAAGAACAAACAAAGAGGTAGAAAAAAGTTTCTCAAAATACAATTTTTATGTCGAAAGGTCATTTCAGGAGCAACAAGAGAAGATTCTCTCGCAATATTGTCCATTTTGGACTTTTCAACGCTCAATGGAGGATAGCTTTAACTATTTTCCACAATTCAACTCAACTATTGAATATAAAGATTGATATTAAAGAAGCCAACTATGGGGAACAGAGAGAAGCTTCTTCCCATTTATGTACATAAGACAGCTTTTCATATCTGACGTGACGGCAGATATGGTCACGGAAGAAGGACATGAAGAATCAACAGATAAACAACAATTTCGAATTTCATTTTATGTGAGACAGAATGGAAGACATAACGAAGTAAGAGAGGGCCGAAGCAAGTTATTGGTTTTCCATTCAAAAAACGACTGCTCAATAAGCTGTCATGAGTGGAAAATGATTTTTTCCAACTGATTTGAGATGAGGAGATGAGAATATAAATACGTCAAGGACGATATCGCTCCAAAATTGTTTAAAAAATATTTGGAAAAACAAGAATCCCTTGGAAGGATAGATGAGATGAGAGCGGAAGTGCTGGTGGATGGAAGACACAGAGGCAAAAGGTAAATATTCTCAGAATTTTTATAATAAATTAAAAGAAACAGTTTGACATTAATGAGGAAACAAAGGAGAAAACAAAATGATTTGTGAAGGCTAATGCTCTTTGGCGGAGTAGCAAGACGGACTACGAGAGAGAAAAGGAAAAGTGAGGGAGTTCTCCTTTCCATCGAATATGTCTTGGAATGATGGCTTAATTAATTAAATTTACGCAGTTTGATTGATTTAAGCTTGAAACGTTCTTTGATTTGCACATCGAACATTCGAATGCATGGCTCTATGTGTGTATGTCCATATATGTATGTATGTGTGTATGTTAAGAATAAAAGAAAACGTTACTTGATAGATGGAGTTGCAGCTGAGACGGTATGACCTTTAACGAGAACTCGAACAGCAGCTTCATTAGACATATTAGCTGGACAACTTCTGCAAAGACATCTTCAAACGAAAACAATAAAATGAAAGATAGTTATTAGATCTAATTCTACAATGGAGAGAGATCGAAGAGGATTTACATGAACATACCCAGAAGGCAATGTTGATAAGGAATTGGATAGATTGCTGCCTGAAATATATAATTTTCATTTTGAAATCTCCATTTGTTTGTTTAATTTCTGAGTGTTCTAGCATATCTTCGATTTCAATTCGCACAGATCAAAAAGCATCCGATATGCAAATTTTTTCAAGTTGAAACGAATTTTATTAGAAACTATCTAAATATGCTAATTTCATTATAGTCTTCACGTGAAGCGTTTCACGTGGAAGTTGAGTCAATTAGCTCTCTCACTCATTATTCAGATGGTGTTAGCGGTGAGCGGTTGCATTCCATTGACTAGAAGAGTTCAAAGCTCTCCTATCACATCTACTACATCTCTCCGTCTATGTGTATATGAGATGTGTGTTTGTTTGTTTGTTTATTTGTTTGTTTTAAACACAAAACAAGAAGGTGGAAAACACAAACTTCCAGTCGAATAGTATCTTTTGGTTGATCGTTGAAGTTTTCCTCGCCGTCTTCTTCCTTCATTTGAATAAGATCGAATACCAAATGAAGGTTTGCAGATGGTACTTGGGAGATCAAGTGATGTCATCTATGGGTGAAATGAAAATGAAAATGAAGCTTTCTGATGGTTAAAATACAAATAAATGACTAATTATGAAGAGTTTAAACAAAAATTTTTGTTTTTTTCTGTTTTGAAAGAGAAAGAGAGAGAGATAGATGGAGAGAAGAAGAGAGTAATGTTGAAAGAGAGAGATAGATAGAGAAAGAGATAGAAGGTAAAGTACTATCTTTCCATATTTGGTCAAGGAAAGTGTCAGAGTGAAAGACAATGAATAATGGTGTGAATGACATGAAGCTTGTACACAGCTCAAAGCAAAAGCTAACGTGACAGTGGAAATCAGATATTATAATATAAAATAATAATAATAATATATATCTAGGAGGAGATGGTGGCTGTGAGCAGTCTGAGAGAAGATCAATACTATCGGAATGGAAAGCCAAAAAAGGATATTCAAATACATAAATGGATCGTTTTTCTTTTTAAATTACTCTGTTTATAACAGAAAATGATTGATAATTCACAAAACTAATGGTTACAACATCACGAACGAAGTTGGAGAAGCTCACTGTCTTCACATCAAATCAGCTTACAACAAGACAGAGAGAGAGAGAGAGAGAGAGGAGTCTTCTCGGTTCAGCTTAAAGCTAGTCATGTTTGGAAGTAGATGGTGTAGAAAAGGTGAATTTTCAATGATTTAGACTTAGAAAAGGCAAAGTGGAATAGACTGGAGAAGGGAGATAGAGGTAAAGAGAGGAAGAGAGAGAGAGAGAAGGAAGGAGAGAGAGAGAGAGCTGTTTTGCCTTATTTTTTGATTCCAAAAGCTTGAAAAAGGTATAAGCATCGTCGATCGTTGGACTAATGAGTGTTGAACAACAGAAAGATAATCACTATATGATATGACTAGCAATTATGCCTTTTAAGGAAGAAGTAAGACGACAACGACTTAAAATGGAAAACTATGAATGTAAAGTGGAAGTTTAATTAAAAAACATTTGGGTTACAAGTAGTAAACAGAGTATTCTTGTTAGAAAGGAGTTTGTCATTCATCTGTCTGAACAGGAGGAAGAAGGTGTTGAACATGCACATCATCATCATCATCGTCCTACATGCAGTCCGATCCTCTAAACGCGATTTTGGATGAAAAAATGAAAGCTGTTGGCTATTCGCCCATACATATAGTTAATATAATTATTATAATAATGAAGAGGGAAATTTCGTGATGGAAGATTCTCATGAAATTATTTTAAAATAAGATTAAATACAATTTATGAAAGGAAAAAGAAAATTACTTTTTTTCATAAAGGATATGACGACAGATTCGGACTCTGCATAGAAGCCGTTAGAGAGAGAGAGATAGAGAGAGAGAGAGAGAGAGAGAGAGAGAGTGTCAAGGCAACAAGGTATGAGGAGCTGGTTAGAGAGAGAGGAAGGAAGGTAATGAGAGACAATCAACACAGACAGAGAGAAGATATTTCCCTTCGATGTGATGAAAATACCTCGGGTGGAGGATAAAGCTTAGGAGAAACATTGACAAAAAGATAAAAATACTTGCAATTTAGATGATTAATCCTCCTATTATGTAAAGAAGTGACATCATGAGGGATCTATGAATATACGTATATCTAGAGAGAGAGGGATAGAGAGGGAAAGGAGAAACAATTGTTATTATAATATGAAAGATTAGAACTGTGGGAGTTTCGTAGCCATGCTTATGCAAATCATTACATACGTTTCTCAAAAAACCATTTTCAGATTTTGAAACTTCTGTGATCGTGGCGGAATTTGTTTTTTTCTTTTTCAAGCTCCATTTTACCGAGAACAATCAAGAATTGTAGGAGGATTGAGAAGAAAATGGATGAACACCAATTGAATGCAACCGCTCTCCATGTCATTTCAATGCAACAATGGATCTCACGTGAGAGTTGCGCACTATAGCGCTTAAGCCATTCGTAAAGTGTAATAGTCTTACCTATAGCATGACAATACTCATGCGGATGTAGTCGATAGCTGGACGTATCCTGTGAGAACAATGGTTGATCATCATCCACATGGCAGTAGGATGAAGCTCGAACTCTCATATCATCCAGAATGTGGGAATGGTTACAAAGCTGAAAGATACAAAGTGGTCGTAAATGAGATGTTATAATTCGAACGAATATTTTCATAAAAGCCATTTGTTTACACATTACATGAAGAAAAGATTGAAAATAATCCCTTTCATGTTAACGAGATTGAGGGAGAGACGGAGACAGAAGTACAAAAATCATTTTCTTATCGTTAAGGTAGCAATTAGGTTGGTGAAATCATTAAAGAAACACGGAAATGGGAGAAAGAAACAGATGGAGGGAATAGAGAGAGAGAGGGAGAGAGAGACAAGGCTAAGACATAAACTTATAAAAGAAAATAGAAATTAATCTTATTATAATATCATTTTACAAATGAATAATGCATGAGTGAAAGCTTTCGAAATCAAGTTCTGCTTCCAAATGCTCATTGGAGGTTGGTGAGGAAGTTGGAAACGTGAGAGTAAGCAGAAGAATAATCGGAATTAGAAGTTAAAAAAGTAAAATTTAAAATTTTCTTGTAAGATAGGATTATTAGGGGAAAGGGAGGAGAGAGCAAGGAATCTCTCAGACAATTGGATTGGCAATAAAGAGAGCAGATGACACATGCTCTCACAGAAGAATCAGAAGATGGCAGAGAATACTAAAGGCAGTCGTCTTTTAGCTCCTTTGGGTGATCAATTTGTCTTCTGATGAATCGAAAAAAGCTCATTTCTGCTTCAAACACGATCAGTTTGAGAAATGTTCTTGGAAGCAAAAAGGTTGATTACATACAGTTTGGAATGAAGATCGATTATAAATGCATCTGAGTGCTAGCAAAGGCAGTAGCTTGGGAAGTACTCAAACTAAACGTTTCAAGAACATCATCATCTCTGTATTTGGTTACTTTTCAAAATAAAGAAAATGAGCGGAAAGATGTGCTGCAAGCTGAGAGAACAAGGGAATGAATGAGATCATCATGGTCGGAAATCTTTGGCTTGTCACCTGAGGTACTTTCATCACAGCTCATCAATCATGTTTCATTTTTAACAACCAATGAGCTTCCCCCCAGACTAACATTGATTATTCTGAAAAACAGAAAAAAATAAATTTCTCCATCCAGAACGAAAAAAGTTTTCTTCTTCGGTTCAAACGAGTAGTTGCTCTCTCGGACCAAGTAGGAATTTGAAGTGAAGCTTAGTTCCTCATTCTCATTTCTTCTTTCTTCCTTCTCTCTGCGTCCTCCTCTCTCTGTTCGTTTAGATGAGAAGGAAAAAAAAGATCTTGAGAGAAGGCATGGAAATGTAGAATTGTGGTTAGAATTCAAGTAAAGCATTCTCAGATTACGAGTAAATCCTAAGCAGATCCAGCGAGTTCCAAATAACATTAAAATCGATTTATTATTAAATAAATAGAAGAAACAGTAGAGTTGAGCTTCCGAGTTAGTACTTTCTATGTTTACTCCGCCAGTCAGAAGTTAACTATCCAGAGGAATTTAATCAAAATTTCAATTAATATCAATCGCTCCTGACTATGAGAAGGAGCAAAGAACACTCTCTATCTAAGCTTCAAAGGGTAATTTTTCTGAATAATTTTAATATTTTTGAGGAGACAGAATAAACAGGAAGCACTTTGGTTGAAAAATATTTCACAAAACAATACCAGTCATGTTGGAAAGTACAGATCTCTTATCCCTCTTCTCAATGAATGTCCTCTCGTACTCATTTGCTCTCTGCCGCATCTCAACTCCTCCCTCTTACAGCTTCTCTTGAAATAATCACTCAGTTTAAGCTCTTATCGTCAAGGTAACACTCATTTTCTTATCATCAAGCAGACACATCAAATATCCTCAGAGAGCCGTTGATGAACCTGTATCAAGCTGCATACTCTTACTGAACAAGTCAGCATAGTAATGAAGCCAAGGCAACGAGAAAACCTCTGAGAGGATTTGGGGTTCCAATCGAAATCGTCAAACTTTGAGATATAAAGACGGGGGGGGGGGACATAAAACTGAGTAAAACATTTTATGTCATTTTCGATAATGTCTCTCAAAAGTTAACAAAAAAGAAAGAATGTCAGAAATTTTGAGGGAAAAAGTTGAAAATGCTTTGTCTTAGTCCCTAATTCGAATTTCGAAAGCTTCTAATTGAATTAATCGAAGAAACAAAAGTTTCTGACCGTTGACTGAACTTATCAAAGCTCCAAGTTGGCCAAGAACAGAGAGAGGATGGAGTTGGAGCTACGAAATGCACGGAGTCAGTAAGAGAAGCAATGAGGGAGGAGAAAAGTAATGAGAAATAGTTTATGGTTAAACTTCTAATTCAATGGAATTAAAAACGTGAACTTTCTTCACGTGGTGGCAGTTCATACTCGAAATGTTGTGAGACACAAGCTTCCCAGAGAAACAGAATGATAACAAGAGAGAAGTTAAAATGAAGAGAAAGAGAGAAAGAGAGAAGGAGAGAGATTGTGAGAGGTTAATGGGCCGTGTTAGCAATTGGCAGACGTAAAAGATATAAAAAGAGTTTTACAGACAACTGTTAGTAATAAGCCGCATAAATCTTCGTATCGAACAATTTGGGCAACAAATGAAAGTACAAAAGTAGAAATGAAGTGAATGAAGAAGTAAATTCGAAGTTTACAACGAAATTTAATAAGCAGCTGTTTTAAAAATTAATTGGTTTACAATGATTTTCCCATTTTATGATGTCTCTCAGTTTCAGCGTGAGTGAAACGACATAACCTTTGGTTCAAGACCTGAAAGGTAAGTGAAAACTTTGAGAAATATGCAAATGAAGCGTGAGTAGGAAATCTAGGAGTGCAACAGATGCAAAACTTTTCACATACAACTTTCAGCTGGATCAACTATATATGCGGGGGAATGAAGAAGTACCTTGCTTGGTATTGAATGCAACCGCTCCCTGCGAATTTTCCGTATACAATGACGCATGAGACGCTTGCTATTTGACGTGACGTGAATTTACGTGGGATACGTGGAAATTCTATTTTTTAAAGCTTATAGATAAATGTGTGAAAATCTTCAGGAAAACGAAACATAGTAGCATAGTGAGAATAATGTTATGTTATGAAAACGATATTTAAGAAGCAAGTAATGGCTTTATTCCCTCCGGGCAAATCATCTTGTTATTTTGAGCAACGCTGACCACCATTCATGAAGAACCTGAATATCTTGCTCTATAATGAAGTACCACAGGTTCTGTAAGTTAATATTTTGGCTCAAAGAAGAGAGTGGTTTTCAATTTCGAGCAAGATTTGGCAGTTGAAACATCAGCGATCATAGAGTGTTTCCACTCCAACTACGGAAAGGAGAATCAGTCAATTCACATAGCAAATGAGATCGAACGAGATCACATGAGTGTAAAGAAGAGTGAGAAATAAAAATTTATTATTTTCTTTAAATAACATCTGTATCTTTGAGATATACATATATTCATATATATATATATATATAGAGAGAGAGAGAGAAATATATATACAAAACACAACATATATGGTATAAATTAGTAACAACCTGTGGCTCTGAGAGAGGAGGAGGGAAGGCGTTTGGTTGAAAACCTAAAAATGAAATCCGAGAAATATGCGGGGAATGCGCCTTAATTAAAAAAACGACAAAACAAAAGGATTAATGGAGAAAAGAGAGAGAGAGAGAGAAAGAGAGAGGGGAAAAGGAGTTGAGATAGGAGAGAAGGAAATGTTTTCAAGACTATTTCGGTTTTCGGACAGAAATATAACTATGACAGGTTAAAGCTTCAGAATAAGAAGCAACTCAAGAACCGTATATGTACAATACGAGGGAAATTTCTATAAAATTTAAAAGATTTCATATGATATGTCAATGACTAGTCGGCGAAACCTGTTTGGCATCGGAATAGTAAACTCTTGTCTTTTTCCATTTTCATGAAGAGAAGGTAAAGACGAGAAGCATGGCACCTTAGGCATGGTTAAAGAGATATTTTTCGGAAAGATTTTCTCAAATGATTATAATGAAAGCAATTGGAAGAAGTAAAATTCTGATTGCATAGAATAATTCCTGTGTCTACTGTATAAGGAAGGAGGACACAATATCTCTACGGTAATACTGTGTTTAGATGAGTTGGCTGTAAGAGAGGGTGCTGAGGTCGAGGATGAACTATACTTCCGAGAGCTTGCTGATTTAATACTGATTGGAAAGACTGAAAAAACATGTTCAGGGCATTTAAGGTGAAAGAGTGTCTGTACCTGTAAACTTCCAACAGCTCCGTTCGGTGAGGGAGACATGTGCGTTAATCCGAGGCTGTTTGGTAGTACTATATTCACACCGTTAGGGAACAAAGCCTTCAGAAACAATGTGTTACAAGTTGTTTCGATTATATGAACATACGGTGTTTGGAGGAGGCTGTACACCGCTAGGAGCATGTTGATGCTGTAACTGAGCTTCATGTTGAGCTTTAGCTTCTGCCTCCGCCCTGGCTTTCATAGCATGAGATTTCATATGAGCATTCAAAGACTGAAATTAAATTTCCAATAAAATTATCTCCCGTTAAGATTTAATCTTGCCTTGACTTTCTCAAAGCATTTATCACATTGACGACAATGGAAAAAGCCGTCAGCGCTAGGCTGAGCACCTTTTTTCGGAGCAGCACCTATCTTAACCGGTACATTCTGAATGAATGAGTAAAAAATGAATCGAAAGCCTACAATACCATTTGATAGGAACGGGAAAAAGTTTCCTTAGGTTGAGACACGTTTCCATTCATATGATTATGACTAGAAGTCGAAGGCAGTGACGTCGAATCTTGTATTGGCGAGCTTCCAAGGAATGACGGGCTAAAATATTCAGATCAACTATGTCTCCTGTTTTGAAAACTTACAAGCTTGGTGGCCGACTTGATTCTATGTAATCCTGAAGGGCTTGATACGGAGCAGCAGTAGATGTTTCCCTTTGATGTTGCTCGGAGACATCTGATTTCTCATCCAATGAGCATTTCTTCATCGGAATAGCTTCCTCCACCTATGAGCAGGAGAGGTATATAGAATTTGAAAAGAAGCTCTTACCTGATTGAGATTTAACTCCAGAAGTTGTCGCTTCCGACGGAGGTTCCGAAGCTTTCTATAATCATCCGGACAGCATTTCTTCCATGTATAGTAGAATTCTACACATTCCATATTGGACTTGCTTCCAACCTTAATGAGAAGAATAACTAAGGATGCAAAAAGGATCCAACTTCTTGTGACACTTGAGGGAAATCCTTTTCAGTCTTATAGATGGCATCTTGGAAAGAAGAGATCTCTTCAGGTGTCCAATAAGCAGAATCAGGATACGAGGAAGATAGGATGATAGGGTACTGTTGCCAATCCAATGTATCCGAACGTAAGAGATCAGCAGTAGCAGCTTCTATATTTCCACGATTTTCCATTAACAGATGAAGAGCTAATTCTAAGTTACAGCCTGGATAAGGCACTGCTTGACTACACGATAATAACTCAAAGCCTTTAACTGAAAATGGGGGTATGAATAAATTGAAGAAGGTAAAATCACGATTACTTTGCTCTGGATCCAATCCTTCTAATATGGTCGGAGAGAACATAAGCTGATCTCTGTCGGGAAGTTGATCTAACTCTGCTTTACTAATCTCTCGTTCCCTCCATTTATAAACTCTAGCTTGATAGTTTGGTCCTTTATTTATATGCCTGGAAAGGAAAGCAATTAACTATCAATTTCCCATTCGATCATACGCTGTTGCATCCGTGTATCGAGGATAATTATCTTCGACCTCTTCTTCAACTTCATAACCAATCGAAATAGTGGACTCTTTGCGAGAACACGGTTCTGAGCTCTTGACATAGAATTCATCTGATGGGTGAGAAGATGTGGATGTAACGGAAGCTTTCCGAGGACCTTCTAACTCTCCAACTATATAAGGCTGTAAATAGAAGCTCTTCAATAGTTCTCAATATCACGCTTGTTTACCCCAAGGGAAGGCTGATGGTTCATATAAAAAAAACCATTTTTGCGATGTGGTTGATTCACAAAACCGTTCACAGGATCGTGGAATGGTGGGAAAACAATCGATTCTGACGGGGACACAGTCGTTGAACTGCCAACTTCCTCCACTTTCAGTCCTGGTGAATCACTCATTTCAACATCGTCGTTTGTGTTGTATAATCCTGCTGAATCTGAATCACTTCCTCCAGAACAAGCTGATGTAGACGTTGTCTGAAAAGGAGCAGTCAAACTACATCTTTGCATTTGCATCTTTCAACGCTCATATTTTCATTACTCACAAGACGCTGCTTCGTTCTTTACAAAATATGCATGGCATATTGGAAGAATTCAATGGTTTACCTGATTTTGTGTTAAACTCTTGGCTATTTGCCAGAAAAGCCCCGAGCCGTTCCTCATAGGACTAAGTATGGGTGGAGGAGTGTATTGAGTGGTTTCGCCGAACCTTGGAGCTCTCAGTTGGCTGAAAACGATAATTATAGAAGCTAATTTGTTGAATTGCTGCTTATCAGAATTGAATACGTATGACTATCAAACACAGCAGCAATGATGAGTCTCCCTTAATGATAGGGGTAAGAATCACGGAAAGTGTTCTCTGTGGTAGGAACGAATGATGAGGGAAGTGGCGGGATGAAAAGATTAAAGAAAAGAATAGTCAAAGCTTAGCGAAAGAATAAGATTAAGAGAGTTATTGATTATCTGATATGGTTCGAAATAATATGCAAAAACTAAATTTTGAAGTCTGCTTGTTTATTGAAGAACATGACAATCATGTGAAAATGGAAGTTAATACGAGAGGTTGCAAAAGGAAAGTTGGTGGAAGCATGATGTTTTTGGTTCTTCCGGGACGGAAAATGAAATGGGAAGACTGAATACAGCGTTTCAGAGACAAACGCTCAAATAGGAAGATCAAACTTTGAATGCTATAGAAGGTTGATGAAGATGAGATAATTCCATATAGAATTGAAAAGATTCTTTGGGATCAATCAGGCTGGACTGAACAGTCAACACATTCAAGTCAGAAATAGAAAACGCTGCAAAGGTTTGCAGATTGGCTTTTTTGAAAAAAATGTACAAATTAGGTATTATTGGATTGGGCGAATAATATCTTTGTGAGTAACGATTCGTCAATTGAAGAGAAATGATGAGGAAGCTGACGAACTGAAAAGAGTCAGAAACAAGCTGAAACGGAAAATGACGCCGAAAGACTAACAAAAAAAAGGAGCTGAAGACCGGAAAATGCTGGGTGGTATATGAGCCATGAGTTGTGAAAACACATAAAGATGCTCCAATCGGGAGGAGATAAGGTGTGATGATGGTTACACAGCCCAGATGAATCAATAAGTCGATTGAATCAAAAAAAGTCGGTCTGAGTGTGATTGCGTGTGCGCAGAAATTAGATTTGGATGTTGTGACAACATATTTCTAAATACTTTAAAAGGACAAGTGGAGGGCAATCTTCATGAACCGGTTTCGAGACAAGATAGTCGTCGATAGCTAGGAGGAGAAAAAATGAAGCGAATGTTTGTTGAATGATATAAATGATTAGAAATCAAGAAAAAGTATAAAAATTCCGAAGTTCGTGTCTCAAGATCAGAAGATGAATGTAGTACTCTTGCAGGCATGCAAGAGGGGTGGGGGACAAGCGTGGTGTAGCACGGGTGCGCGGGTGGAAAAAGTTGAAGACAAAAAGAAAAAATGGGAGAATAATGTTTTAAAACATTGAAAAACTTTGAGTAGACAGAGAGAAACAGGAAATGCAACAGATCAACTGAACGAACGGATGACCCGGGGAGGATTCAGCATAGTGAGATTGGCTTTCATGTTTTCAATTTTCGTTGTTACAACGTTATCTTTCACAAAAACATGAAAAAACAGTTGTTGTTTAAAAGTCCGAACGGTCGGCGAGGCAAAAAAACGAATTAATTAAGAATTGAAGGGAAGAGAGGGGTGGAAGAGAGAAGTCCGCAGTGTACTTTTACTGCCAGTCTGCGCAACGAACAAACTTCAGAATGGAAAAGTTGGAGTAAACGCTTGTTGTTGCATATTATGAACATAATAATCTCGTGGTTCTATTTTGACTGCAGAAGAGAGAAGAGAGAGAACGAATCAGACATGTGATCCAACCAAAAAAGGAAATAGCTTTAAAGGACAAACACAATGAACTGAATACATTGTTTTGGACTTGAATTGAACAAAAAAAAAGAAGAAGAAACTATTTTTGGTCTACAGAATCAGGATTCGTTAATGCTGAAGAAGGAAGTAGCTTGAGAAGCTGATATGGTGAGAGTAAGTAAGTGAGAAGTAGCACCCAATCATTCGGCGATTTGTAAGAAAGTTCGCTCCAAGGAAGAAATGAAAAAAATGTTTGTTTAAGCAACTCATCGATGAAATGAGAAGTTCACAAGAAATATTACGTTTCAATGAACAATTCGAACATTGCTTTGAGAAGAATGCGAAAGCGATGTAGTTGGAGACAAAACACAAAATAAAAGTTCATTTTCTTACAGGTTCAAGGAAAATCTGACCGAAATTGCATCTGATGGATACGATCAACATTGAGTGTCAATCTGCAAGGGTGTGAAACTGAGGGAGAATAGAATTGAAATTGGTAGAGTAGTTAGAGAAAGAGAAAAAGAGATAGAGAGGGGAACGGGAGAAAGAGAGAGAGCGTGTGTGAGAAAAATTAGCAACCGTTCTTTCGAGATGCAAAGAATCAATGATTTCATTCGTGATGACGTGACTCACGTGAAACTTTTACGAAAACAATATAGCTATGCTAATGTTGTTCTGAACTGACAAAGAAACAGAGAAAAGTAAAATTACCTTTTAGCAGCCATCAACGATGCTTTCCTTGTTGTGATATTCGGATGGGTCCTAGGTTGATAAGTGGCTGTGGGTTGGGGGGAAGCTGTACTTGTAGCTGGATTGCTTACACACGCCGATGAGTTATGACTCGCAGGTCTTTCATGGATTATGGAAGTTTTGCGAACAACATCCACCTGAAAGAAAAAAGAGTAACGTTGAATCCTTTGAATGTTTTCTATGAGATGAATGTGATTTCTGAAACATAGCAACACGTGCGAATCAAGTGAAAATAGCTTTCAAGGTTGGAAGAAGGCAGAAGGTTTTTGATTTTTCGAACGCAACGCTGCGATTTTTCGCTTTGGAGCAAAGGCCCATTAAAAACAAAATCATGAATATGTGAAACAATGAGAAAGCCTTCGTTAGCTTTCTCTCTCTCTTTCTCCATATCTCTCTGTCTAGATACAAGAAGCAGAGGAGCCTTGTCGATTGAACGATCACAAAAGTACAGAAGAAGGTCTTGATAAGCTTGTGAAAGTTTATAAAACTTTAATAGAAGATAAGAGTTCTTTCTCTCCCTCTCCTTCTCTCTCTCTCTCTCTCTTTCTTATCAGAATTTCAAAATTTTCTGCAGAATTTCAAAAAGAATACTCTTTCCAAACAGTTTTTTTCAAAATAGAAAGAGCAATAACGTCGTAAACATTAACAAAATAGCTGGTGTTTGATAAAAATTAGAATAAGAGAGAGAGAAAGAGAGAGAGAGAGAGATGGGTGAAGATAGAGAAAGAAAACAAATAAATTTTATTCTTCTCGGACCAATGATCTGGATGTGAGCCGAACCCGGAACCAAAACATGGTTGTTGAAGGAATAAGCTTTCGTGCTTATTCACTTCTAGAACTGTTTAGGGCAAGACATGAACTATGTTGAAATCAGTCTAATTGCTCCAGGCTATCTCAGTGCTGCATCGAAGATGGGGCTTTCCCAACCACTTTGCACTTAGTTCGCAGTGGTAGAGAGCAGAAATGGCTTGCTTTCTCTCTTTCGACTCTCTCCATTACTTGCAGTCACTTTAATGTCCCATTTTGCAACGTGGATGTTTAGAAGAGAAAAAGATTATAACGAGAGTATAGAGAGAGAGGGAAAAAGAGAAAAAGAGAGAGAGGGGGGAGGTGATGCTTGCTGTCGATCAATAAAACCATAAAAAAGAAAGAAAAATAACTGTGAAGCCTAATGTTCTCATGTATTTTAAAGAATATTCAAAGCCAACTCGGTAATTGTAGAGTTAGCTGGAACGAAACTGCGGAAATGGGAAAATGAGAGAACCGATGACTCTCCTATGCTAGAGAATCACATTCCGGGCAAAAATTGAAAAATTATGTTTATGATCAATGGCTGGAACAGAAGCGGACATTTGAATTTCAAATTTTTCCCAAAAAGTGAGAGTAGATCTAGCAATTGATGGAGAGAAACGAAAGACACGAGCTTTTGAAAAGAAAAAAAAAAGGAAATTTCTGACCTCCATGGGAGAACTTGGAGTTTCCATCTTCATCACATGTCCCGCACTCATTGGAGGTGACAACATCCTGTAAATATTCTATAAAATGTTCTTATATTCCAAATATTTAACAAAGTTGTTTGAAAAAAGGTTAAGATGAATCGTTTTGAGACATAAGAACTTCAAAAAAGGAAACTTGAGGACGAAAGATGAGATTCCTCTCAGAACTTCGCAAACGTAGAAACATGTCAAGTTTCTCTATCAAACATAAAATATTTTTTTATTCCGTTCTACTGGGAATGGTTAGAAAGAGAGGTGTTGAAAGGGGGGAGGGGAAGATAGGCAGTAGGTAAAGGGAGCTACCACGCGATATTTGCTGTAAAAACTTATTTTTAAAAATAAATTATTAAAAAACCTGTTCGTATGATAAGTATGATAAGAATAATGGACTAAATTGATTCATTTAAATAATTTTCATAAGAGGACAAGAGATCATGAAGGAATCTCTCCCTTTCTCTGTCTGTCTTGCAGTCAGTGACGTCTGAACAAGAATGACACGTTGTTACTTGTCCAATTGACATTGGGGTTACCCTTCTATCTCTCTCTCTCTCTCTGTTCACCAAAGAACTTTTTTATTTGGATTGTTTTCTTTCTTTCAAATAATCTTAACTTAATTGACTCAATTTCTGAATGGAAGAAATGAGATTTTCTCACTTTATGGCTTCTTAACCAACCATGAGAAGTGACATACAGAGTGAGAGCGAGAAAATCGATCAAGTTTGTAGACTAGGCACGTGAAAAACGTGAAAAGCAACAGCGAAAAATCATTTTGAATGAAAAATTGACAACGAACGGTTGTATTGAGAGAAACTGAATGATAAACATAAGGTTGAAATAATAAGAAGAAATAATCTGTTAATTACAAAGAAATAAAAGCAATCGATTTGAAGTATTTTGTTAGAAAAATGATAACAGCGAGAAATTGATCATTTGCAATTAGATTTTCAAGTCTTTGTCATATCTGGTTCAGAAGATAGAGAGAGAGAGAAAGAGAGAGAGAGAGTGAAGGAGAGACAAAGTTGGTTGTCGGCTTTCAAGGACAAGCTGTCTAACCTATCTTTTAAAAGCTTTCCGGCCCTCTTTCAAGGAACGAAGTTAGAGAGATTAACGAAATTCCGACTGAAGTGTTGGATTTTGGTTATTAATTTGCTTTTCAAACATGAAAACCAAAATGATGAAAAGATTGTTTGGATTATAAGCTTTAGCCCGGAAAGCCGTTGAAAGCTTTGATAAGCTGGCAACATATGGAGGTTAGTGTCACATAAAACTTTACAAATCAAACAAAACTTATTTCAAGTTGTACCAACTAACTTGGAATGAAGTTTGCAAAAGAAGAAAGATGGAAAAGGGTAAATGCTCGATGATGTCACAGGTATGTGGCGAAATGGGCAATGCAATTCTTGAAAAATCAAAAAGGAATTTTGAACAACTTGAGTTTCCGTCTCTGCAATTACCAGGAAGGCGAATTTTCTTCAAATGTAATGATTATACACACACACACATACACAGGTGAAAACAGGTTGCTTCCTATTTTGGATGGGCAGTTCGTTGGCAGTGATAGAAATGTCCAACGGATGAGGAGGCTGTACGAGAGAGGTTGCAAGAGTACAGATTGCAGTAAAGAGAGAAACAGAGGAACAGAGACAGGATCTGTTGTTTCTTTCTGTTTGAACAGAGAACAACAGAAAATTGTCCTTTTCCCCGTGGTCCGTGCATTGTCGATTTTCTTTTTATTTCTCTATCTTTCTCTCTAGCATAAGTCTTCTTTTTTTTCAATCGTTTTTTTTTTGAAAAAATTATTTGAATGATATTTGGAGTTACTTGTAGACATGTGATGTCCCTTTAATGTAAAAATATTCACAAAGAGAGATTGATAGAGAGAGAAATAAGGAGAGAGAGAGGGGGAGATAGAAAAGGAAGAGTGCACCGAATAAGCTGAGGGGAATGATGGCTAACAACCATCATTTTCAGACAATTTCCGAAGATCAACGAGCGCATTGTGAAAGCTAGAGGGAGAAGTCATATGCAGATGAAAGCAGTGAGCCCAAATGGATATTTGATAGGAGAAAGCTCTAATTAAAGAGAAAATCAACAAGAAAAAAGATGACACGACTTCTGCTGAAAATGAAATTAAGATTTGTGTTGTGTCATAAGAAGTTGAGGGTAGAAAAATGGAAAAACATGGCTAAAGTTGAATGTATGGAGGAAAAAAAGAGAGAAGAGAGCTTGAGGGGGGATGAAGCTGCTGCTGCAAGCGAGCAGCCTGACGCTAGGTCGTTGCCGGAAACTGATAGAGAGCGAAAGAGAGAAAAACAGAAAATTGCAGAATGTGGTTGGATTGAACGACAGAGATGAAGAGGGATAGAAACCTCGCTATGAAAGCGAAAGAGAGGGGCGAATTCGAGACTTGGTTGGCAGGCTTTTTGCTGGCAGACGGCAGTCGTGTCCTCGTCGTCTTCGGTCGATAAGAAATAACACGGGAGGTTGTGCAGAGGAATGAAGAGCAAAAGAGTGCGAAACGAACAAAACTGGCTGGGAAGACGAGAGAAATACGAAGGAATTAATGAGAGATGAAAAAAGGTAAGAGGATGCACAGAGAGAGAGAGAGAGAGTGCAAACGGAGAGAAAACAGCTTACGAGAGTTTCAGAACTCACATTCATTTATACATTGTCATGAACAGAGAGAAGTGGAGAACGCAAAAGAATCAGTCAGTTTAGAGCTCAACGTGCTCAGCGTACAAAGAAGTTTCTGATTTTTAAAAGCGTGACAGCTACTGGCCTTTCTGCTCAAAGTCTATTTCACCTTTCCAGAGAGCATTCATCGTGAATAATTTTCCGAAAAAATATGAAAAGAGAAAAAGTCTTAAAATAGTTCCAAGTATCTCAAACACAGATGATCTTAGAACATATGCTATTCAGAGAGAATAATAAAAAAGAAGGGAAAAGCCCTATTGAACTAAGGCTGTGAGGACAGCAGAAATTGATGGGATTTGTTATATCATCTCTTCCTTCCTTAGAGGGATTCGAACAAAATATAGGTTTATATTTAATTTCGAAAGTGACAATGAAAAAGTAAACGATGGTCAACTTACGAGTCAACTATTGAAGTCTTTCTCCGTACAGTGGTCGGTGTTGCCGGCACAGCGGGTTTTGGTGGATAAGCCATAGGCGTCTGAGGTTCCGGCATTGAGAGTTTACGTTGCGAATTCTGGAAGAAAATAGGTTTAGTCTTCGACTTGGGAATAAAAACGCAAAAAAAACAGAAAAATATGAAAAGAGAGAGAAGGAAGGGAATGGAAGTACCGAGTTAGGTGGAACCCATTGATTAGCATCGCTATGAGACGAGGTTTTATTTGTCGGAGGTTTAAAATCAGAAACTTCTCCATTTGTGGTTGTCTGAAAAGCAAAATTCGTTTTATGAACAGATTGGAATTAAAATAAAAGCTTTTTTCAGCGGATAGAGTCGGTTTCGTTCTCTCAGCCATTTCATAGATAATTGCTTTAAATGAATTAATTATTTATATTCTAATTGGAGTTTGCTCTCTTCAAATCAAGAACTCGAAATTGCTGTGAGAAAGATGTGTATCGATTGTTTTGCAAATCAGAGCTGATTATCGACCGCTAATTAGCATGAAACGTGACGTTTCGGTTGTTTGAAATGAGCGTCTCATGTCATTCATAATCGAAAGATCGCACAGAACGGTTGTTAGCAAGTGATCTCTCAAGAAAGACTACACTGCGCTTCTCTACACCTCATATGCGCCATGAGAGACAGTTTGAATATGATAGGATGTTGAAACATACATGTCTTGCCCGTTGTTCGTATGGATTGGAGTAGTTATAGAAGTTTTCATGTACGCTGATTTTCCGTCTATCAAACTGAAAAAGAAGGTGAGAATGGGGAAAGTAACGGAAAACAACCTTATATGAGCTGGAGGGTCTAAAATTGTTATTATTATTATAATTATTATTATTATTATTGTTATTATTATTATTATTGTTGTATTGATGCCAGTAGGGTTCGTTTGCAAAAGGTGGAGGCTGAGAAAAACCTTGTTGAGAGTAAAACGATTGGTGTTGTTCCGATTGTTGGTTTGATTGATGATTGGAAAATGGTTTGGCAAACATAGTGAAGTTCTGGAAATAATTAAAAAAAGTTTTTTTCTAATATTATATGATAAGATAACAGAATGAACATTCAAATTTGAACTTTCTTACTGTATTCATTGGAGAATCTAAACGTGGAGGTGAAAACTCTCTCTTTGGCTCGTAAATTGGTGCAGAAACGGTAGTGTTCTGAACGTGAAGAGAAAATAGACAGAGATCACTGACAAAATTTACCTCATAGAAGTTTCCCTGCCGACCATTTGACGATTGTGGATATTGGAACTGTTGAAATTCGGCTCTCTGATCCTAATGACATCATATAGAGTTGAATGAGGAAGAAACAACTTGCTAACCTTATGCCCCGTGTAAAAGGATGGGTAGTTTTGAATAGAAATTGAACGCCGAGGCAACTCGGCGACTGTATCATAGGTACCCGCCACGATTCCTGTAACAAAAATCAGTTCAACTGGAAATTAGTATGAGAAAAGACGAGATTGGCGTGGAAAAGTCTGAAACTACGAAAACGTAAATTTAAATACCAAAAAAGCCATATTATTCATATTTAGCAGAGAAATGGTACATTTTAATTGAAAAAAGTCTTGTCAACGTAAAAAAATAACAAAGGAGAAGCTGAATAGCGGGGATGACGTGCTGAAGGTTTGAAAGAAACAAGCCAGGAACTCGAGCAGTCTTTCTATGGTTAGCCGTGTGGATGACAATATTAGCAAGATTGAATCACCCGAATAGCATATGACCATAGCAGGAAGAAGTCAAAAGCGATACATTCTTGTATCAAAACCATCTTGGAGCCAAACGATCGGAAACTGTGAGGAGAGAGGAAGGATAAGACTGTGTGAGCTAATAGAAGAAACAATACTCGCTTCTCGTTTTGAAAACAAAGATTGTTGTGCAAACGGTTAGAAAAAAAGCTAAAACGAAAATACTTTGCGGATAGTACAAGCAGTGGAATGTGAAGTTGAACAAGTGGCTTCTTCGTTTCGCGCATTACGTGAACACTGCTCAGACTGTCTTCTCATTTTCGAAGAACTATGAATGAGGAGAGAACAGATTTTCAAAAACATCCAAGGAAAGAAGAAAAAATGGTCTGTTAGAAAGTCTGATAGCAGAAGGAAGCTTGAGAAGTTCAGATTGTGAAAAAAAGAGGAAAGCCATTGGCACCAAAAGTCGAGTCTCTCTTCATATCTCATCGTCCTTTCATTTCTCTCTTTGTCTCGGCCATCTATGAGTTTATGATATTTTCAGCTTCTTGATTCTTATCAATGAATTCATGAATAAATTTCATTGATAAAGAGAAAATCTGGTCATCTCGACAATTTGATGTAAGGAGGGGTGAGGGGAGCTATGAGCGTTTACAAAAATGTCTAAGGGGAAAAGAAAGTGATTGGAAGGTCTCGGCTGCTGCTGAAAGAAAGCGGACAAATTCAAAATAAAAATGACATTTACAGTTAATTTCCTGTGAGAACAGCGTGTGAACCGCAATAATTAAGCTCCAAAGATTTCCTCCAAACTGGATTTGGTTTAGATGGAAAATGATTTTCACTACTGGATTCATCTCAAATTTAGTTTCTTTTTCTCAAAATCTCACCAAAAACGACTAACTCAATGGACAGAAAGATAACAAAAACAGTTTAAACGAATTAAGAGACATGAAAGTTATCGATGAACAAAAGATAAGAGATTGAAAGGAAAGAATGCTGAAGAAAAGAAAAAATGATTCAATAAAGCGAGAGACGGGGGGAGAGAGATGGAAAGTGGAAAGAAGAAGAGGAGAGACATCAAAACTGAAATGAAAATGACATTTTTCGTTGGCAGAACGGATAGTCAGATTGAAGAAAAGACCGTCGTCTGAAGGTTTCTCAATCTATTTCTCCAGCTTTTTCACTCTTCACTTCAGGTTTTCGACAGTTTTCGAGAGCCTAGACTTCATTTTAGGAAGGCAGTTCGACCCATACATAACATACAAAGGATCACTATCAAACATGGAACATATAAAACGGAAATGAGAACGATATCTACTTCAGAGATTCTTGGAAAACAGTTGAAGCTGTTTTTTCTCAAGAAAACACGATTTAGAACAGAATCTCGGCCTTTATTTGAAGAAAAAGAAACCTTTCCTGAAGATCAAGCTGAGACTTTGAAAAAGGTAGACAAATAGAGGATCAAATGACAATGAATATCAGAAACTTCTTAGCTTGAATGCAGTTGGGCAAGCTTAATGAAAGAAGAGAATAGCAATTTGAGTTCAAGACCGAAGCTCTTTCAAAGAAAACATCTATGTATTTGCGGTGATTATCACCCTTTGCTATTACAAGGTATTGTTGATTATGATGTTTTCGGAAAAAAAATTGAGAAAGCAGCAGAACCATGGAGAGGGAGAGAACAGAGCAGAAGCGAATTACTTGTTGATGAATGAAAGACTACGGCTTGAGAAAAGAAAAAACACAAAACACAATTTTCAATCAGCCACAAAAGCCTTCTGGCGACAAAAAGGTGATTTCGAATAAAAAAAACTTAACGATGAGAATACGAGAGAGAGAAAAAGATAAGAAAGATGAGATAAAACTTATGAATTTTGTCTAAAAAATAAAAATAGATAAAATATAAAAAAAATGAAGATGAACAAAGAGAATTGAATTAAAGAAGGAGAAAACAGTGGACACAACCATTCAGCGTCTTATAACACAACGAATTAACTGGAATAGTCGTACGTGGAAATTACGTGAAATCTACGTGAAAACCATGTGACGTGAGTGGACGCGTGGAAAGACAATGAGACAGCGTGGAAAGGTAGAGAAACGAGTATTACGTAGTTTTTTTGCGAACATGCACTTTGGCTATATTATATGAATGGTTATAGTCTTCAGAAGATGGTTTTCATATTATCTTTATCAAAAGGACGACCGTCTGATAAACTTGAATGGTTAAGTTGCATAGATTTAAGATTAAAAGGTAATAATCCTTAAATGACACAAAAATGAAGATGAATTCAGAAAAAGCGTATTATGCAAGAGAGTACTGTATGAACTCTTGAAACACCATAAGCTCATATGATGATAATCATATCAACAACCACAATGTCGGCCAGATGAGAAAATTCGCGACCGCAACCGATGGCCAACTAGCTATTCAAACCGGTATTATTATAGCATCGATGACAAGAATGATGAAAAAAGAAAAATAACAAAAAAATCGTAATGAGACAGTTTATGGAAATTCAGGGACAACAGGTCCACAAGAGAGATGAATTCTCGACCAATTTTGTGTCAGCTGTTAAGATCAAAAGAAAGATAGAAGGTTTCACGTGAATTCTCTTTATTGTTCCTTTTTCTTTCTTTTGAAACAGTCTGTACTCTCTGCTCTCTCTTACTCTTCCTCTTTCTCTCTATGACTCTCTCACTTTCACTCACTATATCGTACTTGTAGATTGTACGTACATGTGAATAAAAATTCGTTTCAACAATACATGTTTCTTCAAATGTAATGGTGAAGAAGAGAGAAGCAAAAAAGGAATGTGATAAGGATAGAAATAACAAAACTCTTGAGAAGATCTAATTGGATTAGTTTGAAAAGAAAAGAAGATTATAGTAAGAAACAACTTGAAGATAAGAAGTGATGACCAAATATCTCAAAAACGTACACCACGAACGACTGAATGAGAAATAGAGAGAAAGGAGTATGTATGTATGTGGTGTGGTGTATGTATGTTCTTTTGATTTCATGTTAGTGTTGATGTGTTGGCGAGATGAAAATTGGAATGAGAGAATGTTCGTGAGTAAAAGAAGTTTATGAAAGAAATCAAAGAAATTATTTGTTGATTGGAAACATTTGAAGACAAAAAACGAAAGGGCAGAACTTGCAAGTGTGACTAAAGAAATTTAATGAAATATGTCAAGTAAACATCCTGAAAATGCCATCAATGACAGATTTTGGAATGAAAAGATTGAGCCAGAAAGGAGAAGGAGAATACAACAAACATGAATTTGAGCTTTTTTGCGAAGATACAAAGAGTTTTTCAAAAAAGGCAATAAGTGAATGTATTCACGAATATTTTGAATGTCAGATACTCAATGAAGCTAACAATCACGTAATCAACTAAAAAATGTTGAAAAACAATAGAATATTAAAAAAGTATCGTTTGACGACTTCACCTCTCTTCGTTCTTCTCTCTATGCCTCTTTATTTTGCCTTTTCCGTCCCATACACACACACACACACACACACACACACATATACACGTTCTCCCTTGAGCTCACCAACGGCAAGCCGCATGTCTTTCTGGTCTCTCACGACAGGAAATGCAAATTCGAAAAAAAAGCGAAAAAAAGAAAATATAAATTTTATATTTTTGAAAACTTAAGTTGTTTTACGATTGTGTAACAGTTTCTGAATTTTTCATGCTTCAAAAGGGAAATTAAGATGTTTTTGTATTGAATCGGCAAAAGCTGGCGTGGCAGGCAGACTCTATCTTTCGGCAAATAAAAAAAAGAAAAAACAGTTTGAGTGAAGGAAATTTCAAAAAAGGAGAGACTTATAAGGAAATTATTTCAATTTGGTGAGTTAGAGAGAGAGGTAATGGACGTGATATGGAAAACAAAATCATTTATGAGTTATATCTGCACCATTCGGATATAATGGGCTTAGAAGGGAGGGGTTGTGACAACAGTGAGAACAAAAAAAAAAGATAAGAAGAGAGAAGTTGTTAGGAAAACGAGGTACGAGGAAGTTTCTTGGTTTGTTTGTTTTAACAATGAGTTCAAAGACCTCGTTTTCACGAGATTTTAATAATTAATTCTCGCAAGGAGAGAGCAAAAGAGAAAGAAAGCACAAAACGTAATTTTATATTGAAAAAATAAAACAAAAGAAAACAAATGAGGAAAAATACATGACCTTCCCAAATTCAAGTTTCGAGCTGGGTGGTTGACGAGAGTGAATTCAAAAAAATGAATGAATTAGCTAACCAATACTCTCACACAGCTTGGCAAGTACAGATAAGTAAAAAAAATATAGAAAAATGGAAAATTAACTTAAGCACATTAAAGGCAGCGGAGAAGATGGGCCGAGGAGGAGGAAGAGGACAAAAAGTATTTTTGTCATTGAAGTCATTGTGGAGGAGATAGCCTTAAAAGAAAGAAAGAAGGAGAAGATGAAGAAGAAAGGTCCAAGCGAACTTAAATGTAACAGATGTCTCAAAGTTTTAAAGTTTGTATTGAACTCAACAAGTCTCTCTCCACACATTGGAGGAGTCGAGAAACAGTAAGATTGTACTGGGTGAAGCTGAGAAACTTCGTTTTAAGCTACTTCAAATCCTACAAACAACTTTTCGATTATGTAAATCTTGCTCGAAATCGCAGTTTATTCTTAATATTGAATAAAAAAGAAAGAAGAGAGTTCAAAAATGAATGAAAATGCCATATATTCGAGACGAAAATGATGAAAGAACTAAAAGAGATAGACACAAAATGGTAGGAAATGGAATGGAGAGATAAAGAGAGAGATGGAGAGGGAGGGAGAGAGATAGAAAAACAGAGAAAGAGAAGAATGAAAAGAGAAAGGGTGAGAAAGAAATGCAAAGACAGAAAGAGAATACGAAAAATAAAGAAAATGAGAAAAAGAGCCAAATGAGAGAACAAGGCATTCATCAATGGAAATACGCAGCCCCTTCTAGCCCGCGGAAGTCTGATTCTCATTATGAAAATGAAGATGACGTGAACTTATTAATGTCATTTGCAAGAAAAATAACGACAAAAACATCAAAATTGAGATATCTAAAACAACTCGCTTGAATCGTGTTCAGAAACTTTACGTAAACAATGAGCTCAAAGTACGAGTCAATATATGAACATGTGCTCAGATATCGATTGATTTCTTATGTCTTTCATCAGTCCTTAAAATATTAGCTAAAACTTAAGAAGCTCAGCGTTCGAGCTTGAACGTGTTTTGGGCAATAGCACCAGAAACATTGGGCATGAATGTGGTTCTAGAGTGTCAGCGACAAAAAAAAGAGAAAAACGGATAC